CTATAAATGTTTCTTATCTAAACTTTGGTTTTTGTTTCATTTGAAATGAAAATGCTGACATATTGGCTTAGAAAGTCAAAACGTTACATGCCATCTCAATTTAATGCTATTGTTGAATTTTTTCAACACAAAGCTTTCCTATTGAGCGTAAATGCAACACATCGTTGTCTTCTATTCTCTTGTTGAAATGATAATTTTATTACTTCGATTTGATGAACCTCTTTCTTTCCCAACTCCAAGAAAGAAGAATCGTAGACAAGGCACGCTCAATTCCTCTTTTTCTTGGCCATTGAAACTAGGCTTCTTCTGTTAAAATGTAAATCTATAATCACGCAAAAAACCGTTTGAATAGTGTATTTTAATAACCACTTCTTGAGACGGTTCCTCGATTTCCATAATCCAATAAAGGTCAGACTCATTGAATTGATGTGTTTTTCGCAGTCTCCCATGCACATGGTTGCAACAAACGAAGCTTCTCAAGTTGTATATTTATTCAGACAGTATCATCACTCACACCAAGCCACTAATTAACCTTAGCCACCACTTATTACCCTAATAAGTTTTTGTTTGTTTCCCAAGAAAACTCTACTTTCTCTGACTGCTAAAAGAAGATTGAAACCTGAAATGAAGACTACAACTTTCATTCTTAATAATTAAAGATTCCATCAAAAGAGTTCCAAATTATGGAACCCGGTGAAGACAAATCCGATAAGAAACCCTAAATTGTTATAAGGGCAATAAACATAAGAAAGCTACAAAACATTGAAATGAAACTAACAAACACATAAGAAAACACATAACAGATGATCAAAAATAACAAACAAAACATAAACAAAGGATGGATCTCTCTTACAAAAACCCAAAATGAACAAACAAACCGGATTCCTCTTCGCCGGAACGAAAAAGCATGTTAGTTTTTATACTTTTTTCCTTCAACTTGAACCCAATTCATCAGAGCTACCTGAAGGACATCTGATCATTCTCAATATGTTGACAGCTTCTCCCATATGTGGTCTACTTGATGGAACCTGAGAAGTGCAAATAAGCCCTAGCTTAATCACTGCAACGGCTTCTTCTACCGGAAACTTCCCTTGCAGCCTCGGATCGATACATTCCTCTGCTCTTCCATCTTCAAGAGCTTCTCTCACCATATCACACAGAACCACAACATCATCTTCCATATACTCCACAGGCTTTTTACCTGTAAGAACTTCAAGAACCAATACTCCGAATCCATAAACATCGCATTTCTCTGTGATCTTCACCGTTCTACAAGCAAACTCTGGAGCCATGTATCCCAAAGCACTCTGTATCTTGCTGCTCAGAACGTACCTGTCTAGCATCGGTAACAGCCTCGCTAATCCGTAATCTCCCACTTTAGCCTCACCAGAGCTGTCTAGCAACACGTTGCTCGATTTGATGTTGTAGTGGATGATGTTTGATTGGTGCAAGTAGGCTAAGCATTTCGCTGTACCAAGGATCACGTTGAACCGATCATTCCAAGAAAGCGAACAACTACCGCCTGGTGCTTCGTGTAAGTGTTTGTATAGACTCCCACCTGAGAGGAACTCGTAGATAAGAAGCTGAAGAGATGTTGTCCAGTAATAACCTTCGAGTTTAACCAGATTTGTGTGCCTGAGTTTCCCGAGTTTCTTGACTTCTCTCTCGAATTCTTCTTGAGACTTGACAAGGCTCGAGACAGTGAGTTTCTTGATAGCCACAGGATACCCATCTCTGATAACCGTTCTGTACACTGCTCCAAACCCGCCTCGACCAAGCTCACAGTCTTTGTTAAGCAGAGCATGTGTTCCCGTGCTGAAATCGGGTTCACCAGAGAACATCACAAGCTTCCCTGAGTTGCTATCAGTTGTGGGAGATCGGCTGAAGTCATCTCCGCCCGAGAAAGTGAGCGGTACAGCTGATCTTGAAACTGTTGATGCGCGCACTCTCAGATTAAGGACTGTGATGGCTATTACACCAACCACAATGGCTGCAGCAGCACTAATGGCTATTAAGGAAGATATACTAAGAAGTATCCTTTTGTGACCAGGACCAGGAGGCAGTACTTCACCGGACGAAGGATCGAAGGTTGCATTAGGATTCAAGACAATTGGTTTAGGAGACACAGCGGGACATGACTTGTTGACAACAGCACC